CGTTCTCGTCTGCCAATTTTTGACAATTAATAAAATTCAATTGATTAAAATCATCAACAATTTGATTAATATCTTTTTCTAATCGCTCTTCTGTTAAGTCTTTTCTTTCCATTTTGGTTTATGAAAAAAATAAAAAAAAGCAAGGAATGTATCAATACTGTATATTTCCGATATTATCTTAACAATGGTTAAACTATAATTAATCAGTCAGCAATATACCCTAAATTATACCGATGTAACATCAGCCTATGAGCATGATATTATAGGAAAGCCTGGTTACATTACCTCAGTGAATGGCGTAATTTTGATTTTTGCAAAATATTTATACGTACGTACGTACTGTACATACAGTACATATTCAAATGAATTTTGCTATGTAATATTAGAGCTAGTGTTCCACAAACGGGTACCCGAATTGGTTTATATATTCCGGTCAAGAAAATTGGGTAATGATTGTGTTTCATTGCGAGATTGATTAACTAGATCATATACGTACCTTATAAATTAATAACATTTTCATACTCATTTATGGCGTATTGCACCATTTATGGTATTATTTTTTGTGTATTTGTAATACAAGTGATTATCGGAAAATTTCAGGGCATATCTGCCCTGAATTTAAAACGGTTTAAGAGATAAAAAAACCGCTTGTAATTAAAGGTTATTTATTTGTGTGCTAAATTATTTATACAATGTAATCTAAACGTTTGCAAAAACATTGCACTGACATTTTTTTTATTACTTAATAGAAATACAATAATATCATATGCCAAACATAATAAAGAAATTATTTCAAATACAGTGTGTTGCCAAAACAAACCATAAGAAAAGTTCTTATGCATTTTATAATTTAAATTTTAATCTTACGGGATCTAATTTCCAATATTATTATTTAGTATTAAATAGAGTTATCAGAGATGAATTCTATTAATAAAACTTATCAAGTGTGTAAAACTACTATAAGACTTAGCATGACATTGCTCACACGTAAATAGTGATACCACGGGGTAAATAATATATCGCTGTAGGTGGGAACGGAATTTAATAAAATTATAATTTTAGGGTGTAGTTTATTTTATATAAACCTACACCCTAACCTAAAAATTCTAATAATTCCAAATACACTTACATTCCATTCCTATTTACAATATATATAACTCGCAGTATTCGGAAAATATATAACAAGTTCTTCCAATTATATGGGTGTTACATATTAAAACAGCCCATTTTTACAATTTTTCAAAATGTTTTTATTTGATTTTTGAATAGAAATATACTATATTTAATAAAAAAAATCTATAAGTTGCAAATGCTAATTATATAATTATAAGTTTACAAAACGAACTTGAAGTAGAAACTTTTATATATGTTTCTATTTGTATATAATTATTTAATTTACTCAAAATTATTAATATATAAAAATGGGTATTTTAATACATAACATCCCATCTATCTAGTTCTTCTAGCTACCATTTGTATTGTAATCCGCCTCTATCATCTGATTGTCTTCTGTTATGCATAATCTTTACTGTGCCAGCAAACAAGATAACATCATGCCTGTTTTTAACCACATATACTCGCATATCATCCATATAAAGGAAGTCATCTTGCCGTCGGGATCACATCCTATTACAAGGGATACTGATAATTCACACATTTTACGTTCGATCACATTGATGGTTTGGGGAGATATTTCAATATCGCTAGCGTAACTACCAGCAATATCTATGGTGATAAGTTTGGCAATTGCTATAGCATCATATCCTAGTGGTAAAGCAGCGACCCTAAGGGTTTTCTGCGGCTTCCAATGCACCGATGCTATCTTTCTTAGTAATATTATTATCATCTTGCAATACATCAAGCAATGTACTTTTCAGTTCCAAATACTTATGCTGATAGTTAGTTGCACCATTATAGATTGATGGAATAATTCGATGATGTCCATTAGCTATTTGCCAGAAGTGAGTAGCTAGGAATGTCAACCCACATGCATCGTATTTGTATCTTTCGATGATGTATTGTAGCCCATTTGCCATACGAATATATCCTTTTTTTACAGAATCCATGTCTATCTTACCACCCGTAATAGTTAAAAATGTATTGCTTGATTCCTTGACACTTACATCATATCCAAAATCAACCATGTCATGTAACACTGTAGCGAATCCGATTATATCCATTTCATCAACAGTCAACATAGTATATGGCACTATCTTAAGGAAAGCAGCATCAACAACTCTATAATGTAACATTGCCCTTAAATCCTTCCATACAGGCATTTTTTTATTTACTTGAGAGTAGCGTCTGCTTGCTTCTTCTACTCTACATTTGGTTTTAATCATCTCATAACTAATGACATTTCCCAATGTACTTGTTGCCTGTAATGGTGTCATGTATTTGAATAGGATTGCTATCTTATTTCTGGCACCAGAAAACCATTCGTTGATATTAAATTCTCTGCTTTCGACCGCATAGTCGTATAAAAACAAATTATCTACATGTCCCATTAGTCTACCTAATTCATTGCCATACACTACGTTATTGTAAACTATACTGTTGGCAATGGCCATCGGGCTTTTTGATATACCCTTCAGACTGTCTGATGGAAACATAGCATTCCAAGCTTTTGAATTCATCATAGGGACACCATCCCCTTTACCTATTAACGTTGTTCTGAGCTTGTATACTTGATCTGGTATAATGATATCTTTCATCTCAAAAAGTTTATCCTTAACCTCGATACCGCACGTTTCTAGCACAAGTGAGATGCCAATCGATGTAGCCCATTTAGCTTGTTCTGCCATCTGAAGAGCTATGCTGGATTGCGGATGAT